TTTCTTTAATGGGCTGATTAAATACGGGTTTAATATTTCCAGTATCTTTAAGAATATCAAACTGACTGTTCATTTTAAATCTGACAAGTCCATACTTGAGACTGTATGATTTTAATGAATGAATGGAATTTCTTGGCTTTCAAAATCTTAATAAACCATTGGAATGCTGGTGAGATGAAGATGGAAGGGTCTCTATAGACATTGTTACTAAAAGCAGAAAAAGATTGTTGTTTCACACTCAACAGGCACTCCCTTATTATAAGCATTCTGGTTTGCTTGCTAAAGCAGTAGAGTCATAGCTTTTGCTGTTCACTGAGAGCAATGTTCAAAGTGCACAATGGAAAAGAAAGTTACTTGCATTTAATATTTTCACAGAGCTCCTCACATGTTCTACTCTTGGCTGGATTATCTAAGCAATTACAAGCTACCCATAAATAAAGCAGCAGCCAACAGGTAGCACTGAAGCACCACCTAAACAGGCAGTGCCATTCACAGATAAAAAGGAGAAACAATAAGAGAACCGAGTCACACATTAAAGACCATGGGGGAGATATATACATTTTATCAGCTTTGCTGCCTTGAGCCTGTTGTGGTCATTTCCATTTCTTAGAAACATTGGAAGGAACAAGTACACTGTCTTTTCTCGTAGAAGGAAATGTGAACCTCCCTCTGATATTTTGTCAAGTGAAATTAAGAAAAAGCAGTGTATCAGTATTTTTCTTTCATAAACACAATATTAAAAACTCCATCAAGAATAGAAAAACGTGACACTAAAAATTTGTTATGTTTGAATACTTATGGAAACTTGCATCGGAAGAACTTTGACAGTTATTATGCTGTCTTCCCAAATAGTAAGTAAGGAAGTTCTTCCACATCTTATCTACTTGAATCTATTTATCATATGAAGCCAAAATGCACTGTTAGAATGCAACAATAATTCTAAAAATGAACCATTATATATCAAGGTAGTTTCATTATTAGGAAGACCCAAAACAAGATAAAGATCATTTATAACACTGACACTTCCCTTGTAAATCTAAAGTAATACATACGAAAATAAGTAGATATTCAGCTACAGGAATTAGTGTCTTTTCAATTCAGTGTAAACAGAACACTCAAGACAAACTGTACTTTATTAATTGAAATGTGGCTTCTGCTAAGCAGGTTTCTGTTTGGTTTTTTTTTGTTTGTTTGTTTGTTGTTTTTTTTGTTTTGTTTTGTTTTGTTTTGTTTTTTATTTCCTCTAGAATTTTTATTGTTTTTAAATAATACTCATTCCCCAATGTTAATATATTGAGAAAGGTAGGAAAAAATCATTGTGCCTGGTGCCTGAAAGATTAGAACCTTGGAATGCTTAAATACAAGAAGCTTAGCTATTTCCTGCTCTAGTTGATGTTGAACTGAGCATTATTGCATATGAGCACTTAATTCCATGATATAATATCTCATTTATTGCTAGAAAATAACTAGAAATGAAAAACAAGCTGTTTAAAAGATTACTGTGTTCTGTTAAATCACTAATTCATGTCACTGTGGAGCTGGCATTTCACTGATGTGTTAAGTGATCCTGAAATTCTGATTGAGTAGATACAGTTCTGAGATTATTTCTCAACCATCTTTAGAGTACTTTGTGAGTTATTACATATGGATATAAGCTCATCTACTGCTATTAGTCTCAAAGAAAATGCTAACTTATGCATGAGTTCCGCAATAGAATACAAAGACTTGCAATTTTTAAGTTTCTTAGATAATTTGCTGCATGAAATGTAGAGAAAATTTGCGATAGTAATCAATGAATATCTAAAGTGCAGCAAAATATCTCACATATTGACTCTTGATCAGAAAGCATAACTTAACAAATCTTTCATTAAAGTTAGTCTGACATCCTAGTAAAACAGTAAAACCCATCTGGTTACCACAATACCATACCATAATGATGTCAAGAGAATTTAGTCATGCAAGATTTATGCAAGTGTTAAATTGCCCTGTGTGCTACAAATTTCACTCTGCCTCTCATTTCTATATTTTTGTGGTTGAATGAATTGATTATTGTAGCAAGTTTTCAAAACATAAGCTATGTATAAACTGATTAGAATTGATTATTTGCCTTTCAAATTTTTCTTCTAGCTAAAAGTATGTAATCTGATAAATAAATGAAAAACAGATATAATTGTTTGGCTTCTAAAAACTAATAGCTACCTTTTAAAAATTTTGTTGTTAAAAAACATTTTTAAGCTCACATCACACCTACTTTAAATAAAAGTTGTTGGGCTACATGCAAAGTTTATGCCAATTTACCCATGCTACCTTCTTCTGAAATAAATGTGTAATAAATAGTAACAAATACAAAACCCTTTGCATTTGCATAGTAGAGCTGTTATATATTTCAAGCTAGTTCTCAGATAATCGCTTCCCTGCATTGCAAAAAATGCTTAAGAATTCATGAGACAGTATGGGAAGGAGGCTGCCACAAAAGGATTTGTTTTATGTGGTGATTAAAAGAATTAAGATCAATGGTTAGCAATACTGGTTAGCAGTACCAATTTGTGCAATACTTTGAAAGACCAGGATGTAGTTATATGCTGTAAGGATTTAGACACCACAAGATTTTGGGCATGCACAGATGGAGAGATCATTTCTGTTAAAACTCAGCCTTATCTTGGGTTCTAGAAAGAACTGGATGAATCTATTAGCTCTCTATAAACAATTTACAAACATCAAAACTAGAAATAAGAAACCCCATTATTTTTATGCTGTTACTATTGCAAATAAAACTTGCTTGAAACAGACCATTCTATATTCATAGAAATAAACCAATTATTTTACTGTAATCAGGAACTATAATTTAATGTATGAAAATTTAATAATATCACAGTGAATAGTGCTCCACACTGCATACAAATCCACAAGTTTTTTAATTGGTTATTGTTCGTTTTCCTGGTTTTCTTTTTACTGATATATCATTTCAGAAAGGTTTCAGCACATAAAAATGGTTTTGACATTTATTTTAAGGTGCATACAAAATTATAATATGACTTCTTTAAACGTGGAAATCTAACAGAGGCTCTAGAACACCGGATAGCAAATGAATGGTAAGCTTTAGTAGCACAAATATGTTTCTATATTAGCTGAAAACTAAATAATACACATATGAATATACCTGTTTCTCTTAAATTACCATATTGTGGTTCTTTACTAATTGTGAGTAATTATGAAAACACTAAACAGGTATGTGAGGTGGAAATACATGAGAAGAGGAGACAGATTTGAAATCCAATAGAGAATTGAAATGTTAGTGATTTAAACTGTATTCCATATTAAGCATATTGTAAATTCAGTTCATTAATAAGTCAGAAGTATCTTTGTAGTTCTGAGGAAAGTTGTTGTTATAACAGTTATATACCTATATAATAAACATATTCATTTACAAGTGTTTATACAAAGACATGTATTTATATGTATTTGTTTTATATAAATGTATTCTAACAAATATATAGTAGAGTTATCAGACTTGAAAGCCAAGCTCCAAATATATATAAATTTCAGGTTTTCCCTCTTTCTCCCACAGCAAACAGAAAAAAGTGGCAGAATTATGTGTGGGGTTTTTTTCCCCACCAGAAAAAACTCTATTTAATGAATACTTACCCAGATTTTTTTGGTTTGTCAGTAGTCAGTTGAGAAGGCTCTTAGTCCCTGCAGCCATAAGATTTAGGTGTGCCAGTGACATGGTGGTAAGGTAGGTTGGAAGTTGTTGAATACATAGTAATAATGAAAAGAATCAAGAAACCTGCCATTGTTCCCTTCTGCAATAAAAATATATTTATTTACTTTGATTTAAATTTTTTTCTGCATGAAAGACAGGTCACTTACTGTCTGAAAGATAAAAAATACCTGTCCAATTTGGTTGCATAAATCTCTTGCAAGTAAGTATATTTTTGACTCTTTCAGAGAATTAATAAGTACTGGTAGAAAGATAACAAAATTAGGCCTAAAATTCATATCAAATATTCAGAGAATCCCTCTAGGATTTTTGGTCCTCAAATTCCCAAATGTTGGTAGTTCTGTACTCAACTACTTAAGTGGTCAAAGGGACTAATGTAAGAGGAAAACTCTTAAAATATTGTTACTATGAATCTATGTGAAAGGTAGCCTGGGAATATGATCCTTTATCTTGCATGGAAAAGAATGTGGAACATCTCAGATGATTTCTAGTGGGAAATTTTTCCTTCTAAAAGGTAATTGTTTCTTGACTCAGTGTCATTTTTTTCTAGGTATGTCATTTTTTGTGATTTTGGTTTTTGCTTGTTTGGTTGGTTGGTTGGTTTGATTTTAGTTTTTTAGGGATAGAAGTGAGCACTCTCAAGTAAAATATCTAGTGTTATGTTAACAGTCTCATGTCCCATCTGAAATAATTTGGTTTACTTGTGTGACCATACCATTTTGTGGCTGCAGGTGGCTAGCTAGAAACGAAACAATGGGTAGCTTCAAAATACATCTTGGGAGGTCTTTGTATCTTGCCATGAAATCCAGACTGTGGAAAAGACTGAAGCGTGATTCTAACCTAGAGTTCCCCAGAGGTCACAGAATAGCATTTCCTAATGTTCATGGTTTGGCTGAAAATTAATAGTTCTCATCACAAAATGTTTTGAGCTTTCATTTCCTGCTAGAATCTTAAATATTCTGCAGGACAGCAGGAGACAAATGGACAAGATTTGTGTTATTTAACAAAATAATAAAAATTTAAGTGTTTTATGTAATTCAAAAATTACCATCCCTCAAAAAATCCTTTGCTACCTGCTTAATAAATCACTAAATTTCTTTCACTGCATTGTTTGAGCTCTGTAAAACCAATGTTTGGAAAGAAGTTTTTGTGGTAGGCACTTACAAATGCCTATTTCTTTCCCAGAGAGCTAACAATCAAGCTAGAAAACAATTTGTCATGATCAAAATAAGGAATATTTGCTGTCATACACAATAGCTGCTTCAGAACTTTTGACAACTCATGGTTGGTCCCTGAAATGAAAGGAAATAGGAACAAATTAGACTTCTTTTAAAAAACAAGAAGGACTATTAAGGTATGCAACATTAAACATAGACACATTCTCTGTGCCAAATGCAAATCCCTGTTTCAGATAATAAAGATACATTAACTGCTGGGGAGGGTGTTATGCAACTAACATCCATAAGAGAATGAGATGAGCTATAAGTTTAACAAGAACTTGTGCATCATTTTTACTGAATGCAGTGTCCTTAAATAGGTGTTTTAACACAGTTCTTAACTTGTCAGAGAGACATCTAAAACGATTTGTGACCTGTCCCTGTTTAATAGCTAAAGGAAAAATCATTGCCATCTTTCTTCAGGATGCCCTGAATTCCCTGAAGCTTGACAATAGCTTTACCATTCTTTCTCACTCTGAATTCTTAATACACTAAAAAAAACATTTGGATTAAAAATATGACACAATATTCCAAGTTTTCTCAGTATTTTTATTTTTATCTTATCTTATTATTTCCTAAAAAAAAAAAAAAAAATGTTCTTAGTATTTTACTGTCTTTTTGAAGCCTTGATTTGCCTTTCATCTTGGATTCATCAACTTTTCTTTCTTTTGATTTACTACATGTGGTTGGAGATAAATTTTCATGAAGACCGATTTCTCATCCTTTCCTTAAAAGTTAGTTGAATTATTGATGTAGAAGCAAGTCCTACAAGATTCTGGGCACCAAATTCCTCATTGAGAGAATCTATATTGTATTTTTAACATGGACCTGTATTAAAACTTGATTTCTGTAGACATTACCACAAATTGCACTTAGAAAAAACCCTAGGCCTAGACATATAACAGAATCACAGAGTGGTTGAGTTTTGAAAGGGACTTCTGAAGCTCATCTGGTCCAATGCCTCCGATCAAGCAAGGCCACCTAGACCCAGTTGCCCAGACCTGTGTACAGACAGGTTTTCAATATCTCCTTCCCTTGTATAGAACTTTTCACTTCTTCTTTTAGAACTTCAGGAGATTCCTGTCCACTCTGTTCTCCTACAGGTAGCACCTAAGTGCTGCTTTTTACTCCAGAAAGCTGTAATCATGGCAACTCTACAGATTGAAGTACTCTGACTATTCACAGGACATGTAAAAACATACACAAGTTTGCCCTACCCTGAAACTCAACCACAAAATGGCAGAAGTTTTAGAAGAGAAGGTGGAGGGCTCAATGGACCATATACTGTGATGTCTATTGCAATTCTGAGTACAAGGGAATGAAAAGTCCATCAAATCAATTGTTCTTCAGGTCTGTCAAGTTTTATCTCACTATATAATAAATGTAGAAAAAAAACTTTAATATTGCAGTAAATATAATAACTGTAATTCCTTCACAACCATGACTATTTCACATACAGGAAATAGTATAGGTATGTGGTTTGTCAATGTTTCAGTGTTTCAACTGCAAATCAATATATAGAATATGATTACTTTTAATTTTTGATCTTCACCCAGTCCTGTGCCATTTGTTGAAAAAAAAGGTAAATTTCTGCTGAATTATGAGCCAATGAGAGCTGTGTTTTTTTTCTTTCTTTCTTGTTCTGCTTGGGAGTTTCTTGTAATTTGGGTTTTTTAATACATAGTGATGTTTTAGAAGCCTACTCTAACCCATTTCGCATATGAATTCCCTAATGACCCCTGGAAACTTGACATATAAGATCTTGGAAGAATGTTCTGAAAATATTCTGCAGTTATTTGTTTCCTTGTAAGTGAAAATTCACTTCAGACTTTTTTTTTAATTTCATTTCTTATTTCATTAAACTATTTTTTAATGTCCACTAAAAATTGTATCTGAAACCTAGTATAGTAGTGGAGACAAACTACTATGCCCCTTTCTTAGTTTTGGGAATAGAATTTAATGAGAATTATATAAAATTAATTTTATAGAGAGACTGTAAAATTTGTTCCAAGGGTCTTAAAATTCCTTTGCTAGGCCACAAATTTCCTGCAATGAGGGTGGAATCTATTAAGTAAAAATATTCTTCCTCACAAAAAGAGACAGCACTTAGAAATTCCAGGAAAATACACTAAATACAATTCCTAATAATTTTAAATTCTTATATAAAAAGATCCCCAAATGCCTACAATTACTGAAAATTTTGTTGAAATTTGTTGAAATGTAAGAAATATAACATAGAAAATAACAAAACTAATATTAATTTTTCAGCCTAAAGTAGATTCCCTTAGGTGCAGGAATGATGATAATGATGCCATTTTTAATTATATAATTACCTGTAATTTTTTCTCCTATTTTTCCCTATTTTTAAAAATAGTTACAAAACTTCTATTTTATTCTTTTTCTAACTGTCAAACCAGCTTCATTGCTGTTGTTGGAGAAGACCCTCAAGAAGTCAACCTGAGACAGAATCAGCTGTTCCAAACAACAAGCATTTGGTAAAGTTACAAACTATTGAAATAATAAGAAATATTGGACATCTTTTGGTAATAACAGAGGACTGGATTTTTATTTCTAGTCCTTACTTGTGGAACCAATCTTAGACTGTCCTCCTTCCTCGTAAAGTCAGTGAGTAGAGGTAAGAGGACATACACATCTTTTGGCCCAGTCACTGTGTTAAGAAACATGGCTGGTGCAGAGTGGTGGTGTAGAGGTAAAAAGAGGAGGGAGTTCCCTTGCTCATAGGAGGCAGCTCTACTCCGTGACTCCTGTGGCTTATGTGTTACTTCTTTTTCTGAACTGTGCCTAGAAGTACAAATTGGTACACTGAGTATTGCATAACTGAAGAAAATGTTTTGGTAAACAACAAGGAGCTCTGAAGTGACAGACAGTTTTACTGCACATGTCAGAACTGTCTTAAGTTTTCAGCTACAAAAATTTGAATTCAACTCTTGGGGGGATAGAATGGTATATTTTAAAATTTAATTTGCACAGCCTAGAAATACGTAGGGTTTATATAATACTATGTCTGATTCTAGAAATCTGTTCCTTTTGTGGCAGAAGCATACTGCTGCACTCAATCATACTTGAACCTGAAGATCTGGTACAGCCTTAACAGAAAAAAAGCAAAAGAGAAACATGACACTGGGTCAATTCTGACAATTTAAAACTTTGGTATCTAAAAAACCAATGGGATCATATGATTTCTCAGAATATACAATGGATTATAAGAGAATACAGCCTGCAGGCACACTGTTTGGATATATGCCCAAGACAGACAACAGCATATGCTCAAGTTCGGGGACATCAGGGTAATGGAATATAAAATAGTTGTGTGCTTACCATGAGATGTGGGAAGGCAGCCAGGGACCTGTTTTCCCTGGAGGTATTTCCAGAGGCTGGTGCTTGTTACTAGGTGATACTGGTGTTTGGTACTAGGTGTTCCTATGTCTTTTATATATGGAATGGAATATATAAGAGGAGAGTTGGATCACCTTCAAGCAGCAAGTACTCCCATCCAGTAAACAATGAGAAATGTTAAGGACTAATAAAATGTCTTGTTGGATCAGCACAAAATGACAGGTTTGGTGGTCATGTAACTGTGATTCATTTGAGGAAAGGCCCTCAAACACCCACATCTGTCTGTGCATTGCAGTTAGATATTACCTATCTAATTATATAGGATGGAAAACCTAATTTTTTTAAGAGTTGCTGAGGGATCTCCCTTTCACTTTGTATTTTAATTTCTTCTCTAGGTGTAAATATTTACTCAGCAGAAATCTGAGACTGTCCATAAGAGAGAAATATTGATGGATTTTCTTTCCAGTTTTAGATTCTTAGACAACAGTATTTTAGCCAAACAGCATATCTGGTCTCTTCCTCTTGCACTCAAACATATAAAAGCTAGGGTTGATAATGCAATGAATTTGTATGCTCAAAAGGACAGGTTTGCAAAAGGAGTCAGGCAACACCTACTGTAAAATACAGGGCTAAAGTTCTGCTTCTGGTACAAGGGTAAAGCTACATGTCTTAGAGAGGGTTTCTCAATGATCAATAACCTGAAAAGCAAATTATCTTCAGGACTCAGCTACAAATTCTCACTTAAGGATTGTTTCTTAACTCTGTCTAAAATTAAATATCTGCACTATGGGAAAATGCCTCTTTCTGTTTAGAAAGAACAATTAGTTGCCTGTCTATGCCTAACGGCACTACTTCTTGAAGATTCCGCGGATTTGTAGTCCAGAGGAGGAAGCAGTCAGGCATGATTTAAAGATTCCAGTCATTCAAATGAGATGATTTTTTTTAAAATCCAGGATTCTAAACCAGGTGTACAATATACTGTCAATGTACCTGCTGTCCATAACCCACCAATTGTGCACAGTGCCTAAAATCTTCCTAGTAGGGGATAAAACCTTTTGGGGATAACAGCCCACACAGACGTTTTGAGCAATCCAAATTCAATTACTCAATGGTGTGATACAAATTCACATTTCCCACCTCATCTAAAAAATATCTTTAGCTACAGGAACTGCTAAGAAGCCCTGCAGGATGTACTCTTAACCCAATCTGTTAAAATGCTCTACTTGTGTGGCATAATTAAAAAGACTTCTGAGCCTGTCTCTCAAGCTAAACAAAAGCTTAGAGTGTTTACCTGGAATTCTCTTTACAGTACAGAGGTACTGGCGTCTGAGCTAGAAGGGTGAAAATATATATAAAGTATTGTCCTTGCTCTTTATATTATCCTTCAATATTTCCTATAAAAGATTGTGCTATACTTAGCTGAAAATAACTGGTCTTTTTTATTACTACTGTCAATGAATATATTGTTTGTTATGTGTATTCAATGAGTTCAGGAATACAGCAAGCTGAACAGAATTCAGACTCATTTTGAGATGACTGTTATGAAATTCAAGGTGATGGAAGAAAAGAGTAATATAAAAGTTATCAATTGTCAGGGTGAAAGGAATACACTAACAAAAAGAGAAGTTTTGCTTCCCCTGCCACACTGGACCCCTTTCCTACTGCTTAGCAACGGATAAGATGTCACTTATTTTGAGACAGGAAACAGAAACAGCAAGAAAGCTGCACACAAAGCTGGTATCACTGCAAGTGTCCTGTACAGCTCATTGGTGCACGGAGATTTGGCCTATAATGAAGTAATTTGCATTCACATGCAGGCCCGGCTGTGTGGACAGCAGTCCAGACTCTGGGAGCTGTTGTTTCACTGAGTCAAAAGAAATTTGCACATGAAAGCCACATCCGCATTACTTAACACTGCAGCTCACTCAGGATCGCCTTCCTTTTAGACCAAAGCAAATCTAAACCTATGATTAAATCTTCAGAGGATTTATTTTATTTCTTGTAGATATCTGCAAGACCTGAGAAGTGGTGAACATACTCTGCACAAAAAGAATTTGAGATGTTACTTACCGACTGTATTTCTGAATCTTGTCTTCCTCAGTGTAGAGCCACTTAACTGCAGAATTTTCTCAAACCTCTCCAGTGAGGTTTTGCTGCCAGTTGGCAAGGTGAAGGCATTAATCTTTTCAATATCTCCATACCTTTCCAATTTAACTGCAAACTTTATTCTCAAATACAACTAAGATTGAAAAACACAGCAAGTTGTGTCACATCAGATTGGTAATCCTAAACAAAAAGTTATACTAGAAGATAACTCCGGACCATAACATACCTAAGGTTAATTAGCCACGTGGTCATTTCTTTTTCTATCAGAACAGATGTACAAAATACCATTTATTGCAAAAATGCATTAGTAATTGTCTACAGATCCTGACACTGATACAATAATTTGCATTTGATGTAGAGGTCAACTGTTGATCTCCTTGGTTCTTGTCACCATTGTATTTCTGTTGTAAATTTATTTTTTTCTCTCAAATAAATATATAAATAAAACACAAAAGAAAAACACTCCATGTTAGTAATATCTGGAGAATTTAGTCACAAAATCTTTGGCTTATTTACTGCACAATTACAGCCCCAGCACTGGCAGTACAAAATCCTCTACAATATCCTGTTAATGCACTTCAATCCTGACCTGAAAGAACTTTTATGGCTGACAGGATAGTTTAATTTTCATACCCATTCAATCTTTGGCCTTTGTGCTAAGACTGCCAACAGGGGTGCGAATTAACACCAATTATTCTGATGTTTTATGTACTGGGCTGAGAATACCAACTCATTTTACACAGGCCATCACCCAGCTGTCAGATGTTAATGACTTTTGGTTGCTTCTGTCCTGCTTCAGATTCATCTGAGTAGCTGAGAGTTGAAAGGATCTCTGTTTCATTAATAAGAAACTGACCTGTTCAACCCTCTTATCATTCCCTTTCACAAATTCAAGTGTAAATGTTTATTTTCCCATTAAATAATAACGTAGGTTCAAAGATGAACCTATTGCAAACTCAGTGGATTTATGGTAGTATAGAATTTAACCTATTCATGTCAACTGTTTTGGGCATGGATGTCCCAAAAATGTCCCTCAAAGCTGATCAAATAAAGGAATATATATGTACATATGTTCATAAATATTTTCAGCATTGGTAATTTAAAAAGCACAAGTACTATAACAGCTGAATATTATGTCAAAATCTCTGAGGATGGGGTAATAATAAAATCATTTGTTAGCAAATAATTTTTTTATTTGCTACATTCATTACAGAAATTATTTTTTTATTATATTATTTGCAAACACTACTCAGTCAGCCCTGTGTTGTGTGGATACACCTTTCCCATAGCTTAGAGCATGGGTGGCTTCAAGAAGTTCTTTTGTTGTAACTACTACTAACAAGCATGACCCGTTTCCAGAACAGACTCTGAAGAAGCTGATGGAAGTGAAGTTTTGTGGGGCATCATTTCTGAGATTTTCTGCCTTCAGTTATGTGACAGATGTTGAGTTTTACAGTCTGCAAACTTATTCATCTACTAGGGTTATAATACTTGTTGAGCATAGCGTCAAGGAGTAGGAATGATGAGTAACAATACAGAACATACAGCACTGCATGGCATTCAGCCATATAAGAGTCAGGGCAAAAAGAGAAGGTGAATGAGGTTTCTAAAGCCAATGTACATTCATTTGGGACTTACTTATCTTCCAAATGTTCTACTATTTTAGGATTTAAGGAAGGTAAGCAATATGTGCAGTGACAATTAGGACCTAGCTAAAGATAGCTGAGAGAAAATGGCTAAGCTCAGTGACTGAATGTATTGAGCTTCTTTATTCCAGGGAAGCCTAGAGAGAGACATTGTAACAGTCTAAGTGTTAAAAGGAGCTTAATCTGCTTGTCATATCTATGGATGGGAAGATGAGCAATATGAGATCAACCTGGAGGTTAGGTTAGACTTCAGAACCTCTCCCAGGAAGAGGTTTTCAAAAACACAGTAGAAAGGCTGTATCAGGAAGACAAGAAAACATCCTAGCTTCTCTGAATATAGATATAGTTGCCTGTCTTAGAATATGAGATTCAACAAGATAACCTATTGAGTTGCCTAAATTCTATTATTTTGCCAGCTGACTATAACACATGAGGTAAGATCGTATTGCTTACCATACTACCTGTCTGTGGAGAATGTTTTACATTAGGTTGTGTAATATAGTTCTTTAAGCCCATGTTCTAAATTAAATGCAGGCCCTAGAGAAGATAACCTCATAGAAAGAACAAGATTTGTCTCTAAATTTGAGGCGGTGCCTGCAGCTTTCAGAAACTTATTGAGTTGACTATGTGTCTATCACGTGAGTCATGACTACTTCATCTTTCAGAACTTCCCAGAAAATCACAGTGGTTGGTGTCTTAGGGGCATGTATTACTACACAGATTTGGGCTGAAGGAACACCCACCAGGATGAAAACTTTTAAAACATTTTGATACTTCATCTTGTGTACATCTGTGGGGAGAAAGCCTTAGACTGATGCTCTTGGTCACTAGCCTTGATATACCGTATTAAACCTTAAAAACTGACAGAGCACTGTTCATACCCCACCTCCCAAGGAAGACAGTCCATAACAATGAAGATTGGTATTACAAATGGGTGAATGTACCTCTGCATGGTAAATTTGTTTGGCACTAATGCAGTATCTGCAGTAACTACAAGACAGGTTTGAAAGCAAGCAAATGCTGAAATGTTTTAGCTGCCTCTTTGCTTGATTTATATTTTATTAGATGAGGTATCGTAGGCAAAATAATTACTTTTGGATTATTCAAATCTGATTTATTTAAGATTAACTATCCCACAGATGATAATTAAGGTTTTGTGAAACCAGGAATAATAGTGTTATAAAAATTTTTATATATACAGAACCCTCCTGCACTGCGTCAAAGCACTTATGGCTGCAGAAGAATAGAGCATACAATTTTTGCAGTGTGTGGAAACCAAGAAAGGAAATCTGAAAAAAATCATTATGTTTCAGGTATTAAACTGTGCTCTTTCTCCTTTCTCTTTTCTATTCTATAGCTTTTTAAGATTTTGAAGAAAGTATTATAAGAAAAGCTTAATGAATATCTTTAGTGGCGCTGTCTATCAGAATATATTTGTAGAATTTATTATATCACTGCTAATATTCTTGACAACAACACAACAGCTGTGAGGCATGCCTCCTGGCTTGCTTTAGAATAAGAAGAGGTGATAGAAGCCTTTTTCAGTCTTCAACACTCCAAACTTCAAAGTATAAGGTATAGTTATGGGACAGCCTTAAGCAAATACAATGCAAAAATATATTACATTAACAATGTGACACAATGTAGTTGTTTACAGAAATGTAATTAGTATTCAGCCTGATACTCTTCACTGTCTTCTTCATAGCCTCAAATACCTCTCCATATATGGGTCATTTTTTATGCTGCTGCTCCTCACAAATACAATAATGCACATCACTGCAAAAAGTCAGCATTCCTTGAAATACATCTAAAGAAAATAGGGACATTAATAATCATTACTTTTGACCATACAAAATCTTCAGTATGTCAAAGGGCTGCTTATTCAGAAAAATAGCATTGCCAGTGTTGAATTTTCACATGCAGGGAGGGGCGGAGATATGCATACTGCAAACTCTTTTTAACCTAAGAGGTCAATAATTAGTTATAGTTTGTCTGTGGTAAGGGATCTGAGCTGTCAAAGAGCTGAAGTGTCTTCTTTTAACTACTATATGGGGTTAGAGTACAAGAGAGCTGTTGCCCAAAGAGGATAGGAAAATATACAAGACAATAAACATTAAACAAGTAGAAAATATCTAAAAACTAAAAGAGCAGAAAGTGCCTTTCAAAATTTAGTTCCAGTCTTCTTATTTCTTTTCTAAAGCCATAACTATGATTTTTTCCTAATAAATTCACTCATCTCTATCCTGAATCCATGCCAACCCAGAAATCTCCTTTTATGATTTTTTTTTAGTACCTTTAATGATGCATGCTTTTGCATGCTTTCTAGAGTCAGACATAATTATCATATGGATTTTTCCATTTACAAAATTTTATCTGAATATTTAAGCATACAGATTATTTTATAGGCTTAGAGATTCTCATCTGGATCTCTAAATGCTCCTTCATTTGTTTTTGAGTTTTCAACAATAAATCATGAAACAATCTGCTAGGTCTTTCCTTCCAATATCTCTTGAGTAAAATAAATAATGATTTAGTTCAAAGTTAACCAGCAAATTTCTTGTATCTGTATGATTGTGAAGCTTTTGTCAAAGTTTTACAAGATGAATGTTGTTGAAACTCTTTGTTCAGAGACTGGGAAATACTTTTTTAAGATGGATACAGTACTAGAGACAGCTGAGAACTGGAGTTAAAGCATATGTTTTGGAGGGTAATGACATTCTACCAGAATGAGCTCTCTTCAGGGTTTTTTGGTAATATAAACAAAGCAATCACACAGTGAACCATCATTTTTTCACAGAGTTAAAAGGCATTGAAAGTGATAGTTTTAGGGATAGACAATAAAACAGTGAGAATCACCACCATCTATCAGAAAATTATAAGGGTTTTTTCCTTCTTTAGGCTTGCTATAATAAATACATGTGATGTACAAGAGTCCACTATATAGCAACAATAAGACAGTATTTACCCATCATAGCAACAATTGGAAAACTGTTGGAAGAAGGTTACATGAATAATTTATAAGGAATTTTCAAGAGTTACTAACAACAAGTAAATTTAACAGCCCATCCAGAACTTGCCCATACAAATTTCCTATTTTCTAACTGAGATTCAACTCCATCGAGTGACCATGAATAAATTATTTTCCACCTTGCAGTTATGCAAGATGGTGATATGGAGATAATGATGCTAAATCAGTACTCTGTAATTGTATTGGGTTTGGCTGAGATAGAGTTAATTTCCCTACAGCAGCCCTCACAGTTCTGTGCTTTGCATTGGTAGCTAGAAGGGTATTGATAATACACCAGGGTTTTGGCTACTGCTAAGTAGTTCTCACACAGCATCA